CGCCGTGCGGGGCTGGCGCCAGTCCAGCCCGGCCGGCCGCCGTGCGAGGCCGGCGCCAGTCCAGCCCGGCCGGCCACCGTGCGGGGCCGGCGCCAGTCCAGCCCGGCCGGCCGCCATGCGGGACCGGCACCAGTCCAGCCCGGTCGGCCGCCGTGAGGGACCGGCGCGAACCCAGCCGGCCGCTCACCTGTTTGTGGTCCACCACGTCCACCAGCGGCTCGGAGACGGCCACCTCGCGGATGCAGCTCATGTCGAAGCCGTACACGTCGTCCCACCAGTTGATCTTATCGTCTTTGTATTGCCGGTCCTGCAGGGGGACGGGGGAGGCCGGTAAGCGCGCACCAGCGCCGACGGGGTGGACACACACACAGGGATACTCTGACACAAGTAACCGGGCCGCGCATGAGCAGCAGTAGATGGTGACCGCTCACTTCGACAAGGACGCTGGTCGCGCTTCTGTGGCAAGCACAGCGACCACAGTACGTTTGTATTTGGGCTCTCGGGAACATCGTCTTGGTGGCGACGCAGCACTGCGGTTGGCGACAGTACTGCAAGAAGTTGCTAAGTTCACACGGAAGACGACTTAGTGCCGTTAAGCACATGTTAGCGCCAGCGAACCTGAAAATAAGCCGAATTCGCAGCCTTTTGGTGAGCACGTCTGGCCGGTCCTTTTGGGCCTTCGGTGGGCACATCTGGCAGGCAGTTGGTTCATCGAGCGCGCGTCACAAGCACCGAGCCGACAGGCTTACACATAGACACAATGAAGAACTACTTTACATTTCGTTATTTCACGATGGTGCCCAAGACTGTCGGATTGCTGAGATGCACCTTCATCTACGTGGTATTTTTGGCGGACCATGCCCGCCGTGTTCAATTTGTGGAACGCGATGCCTTGGTTCTATTCTACGCGCACGTCTTTCCGACGTTCGAGCTGCAGCGAGACGCTGATTGACAGGATGGGAAATCTGCTATCGTTGCCTGGCTGTAGAACACATTTTTTCGCACTGAGCTGGGGAATAATTAGTGATTGGAGGGGGCGGGGGACAGCACTGGTTCTTTACACTCCTTGTGCTGTCTGCCAGATAAGACAAATATGTCTAGATGAGCAGTAGAATAACCTCTTTAGAATTGAGCAGCGGCTTCATTTCAGCACGGGACCGGAGGTTTGGTTAACAGCTGACCAGGTTGAGAAAGGCATGAGGGAGCTCACACCTCCATTCTTTCAGGCCGCAAGTTTGAACGGATCCTACATTTCCGCAAGTGGGTACCAAAGTGTTGGTTTTCTTGTCGCATGCCTTATCTGAACAACCGAGGGGGTTTGAATTTGTTCCAGGTAGCAGCGGCGGACACATTACACTGATCACACTGGCACACATCACTCTGCTGAGACGTGACCGCGCATCCAATGACATCCACTCACGCTGCAGCAGCGCGCAGAGACGTGGAAAAAGCTCTTGAAAAAGCCTGACCATTACGAACTGTGATCGCATTACGATACAGGATAATGCAACTTGCCCACCACTACATTGCACAGTCCATTAATTATAACTATCCTCCCTGGCAATGGCGCATTTTGGCCAGTCCCTTGAGGCACCCAGACGGCGCCAAATCCAATAAAGCCGCTGCCTGGCCGACCCCCGCTCCGCCGAAGGCCCCAGACGCCCAGAACATTGCCGCCATAATCATGAAAAAACTGAAAACGTTACGACCAGAGCGTAACGTAAAAACCACTGTCTCGCACACAATGACCTTCGGATACTGACGCATCCCGCCAGCCCACAGCGGTCACGGCAGACGGCAGACCTCGCCGAAGGCTCCGAATTTCACCGCCTCCACGGTGACACATCGGCAAACAAACCAGTCTAGCTCACAGCCCGCGACGCGCGCGCGTGGCCGGCGGCGGCGCACGCCGTCAGCCGGAGCTTCACCTCTATGGCGGTAATGAAGAGGGTGGCGCGGTCGGGGAACATCATGCCGCCCGGCGCCAGCCACTTGTCGCGCGCGTACAGCACCGTGTCCAGCATCGACTCGTAGAAGAGGCAGTAACCCATCCACTCGGAGATGATGATGTCCACCTTGTCGACGGGCAGCGTGATCTCCTCCATCTTGCCCTTCAGGATCTCCACCACTGCCGGCGAGAACGACAACATTATAACCGTGGGGCATGTACATGCAAGGCCCAACATGTCGAGGTGACAATCCTTGGCTGAGCTATTGGACGATTCACGGAATCACACGCAGAGGCAACGGACGGTACGCAGAACTGCACACACTGTAATGTTGATAACAAACAGCCCTCATGTCTTGCGTTCGAGAGAAATTCTATGACAGAGACATCACTGGCATTCTGCTCTCACGCACATCATGTCACTGCAGTTCACGTCTCCAACAGCGCAATGAGCAGCTGGGCGTCAGGGGGCGTCAGGGTGGTTGCGTTGCTGGGCCGACAGATCGCGGCGACGGGGCCATGTCCCTCCCCCTCCCCCTCCCCAAACAGCAGACCCCAACCCAGCCCCGCTCTGCATCACGCCGCCACCACGCACCGTGGTCGAGCTTGTTGGCCTTGACGATGGTCTTGGCGTGGTCGACGATGTTGGAGCAGTCGACGCCGATCACCTTCTTGGCGCCGGCCTTGGCGGCGAACATGGACAGGATGCCCGTGCCGCAGCCCACATCCAGCACCACCTTGTCTTTGAACAGGTGCCGGTTGTGGTACATCGAGTTGCGGTAGGTGAGTGTCCGCACCTCGTCCTTCAGCATCTCCTGCAGAGGGAACGGAAACAGTAGTAAACAACCACTAGCGGAAGACGGATGTGTGTTTTCACGAACATCAACACCGAACATCAACACGGTGTGGTTAAGCCCTTTGAGCAGCACCAGCACTAAGAGGTCCCACCTGTCGGATATGCCCCGTAATTCCACAAATTGAGATGGAACGAAAAGAGTGAGCCTTATGTGTTCATTCATCCTTTCATTTAAACAAAACCACGTAGTGCCGTCCGGTCGGCACCACGTAATCGCTCTCCATCTATCTGGGGCCCATGATCGGTCGGGCGGCCCGGCACATCGGTGGCGCACGAGCCCATCCGTCGCGGCTACAAAGGGCCAATACTCGCCGCGCCGTCGCCCGGGCCCGGGCCGCGCACGCCAGGCGGGTCAGGCGAGGGGCGCCAGACGGCGGCGTCAGACAGCGCGCCACTCGCGTGCTCTCAGGCGGTCTCCGGCCGACGAGCGGCGTTCCCCCCCCCCTCCCCCCTCCCCAGCCGCGTCGGTCCGCGCACGTCCCGCCCACCCCCAGGTGGTCTCCGCCCGAGCGGCGTCCTCCGCCAGCCGCGTCAGGTCGGGCGACTAAGGGTGGTGGCCAGCCCGCCCTGAACCAGCAATGGGCCAAATCTCCGGCGCAAGAGCGCGTTATCATCTTGATACACTTGCGTTGTGAGAATTTTTCCATAGCAGGTAACAGAGGGGCAATGCAATATATCACACAAAGATATTCTAATCATACTCCCGGCAAGAAGTATAACTTATCTAATCACATGTATTAATTGCAGGTGCATGCGCTAAATGGTCACCACCATATGCTACTAATATTAACGCTCCACCTGATTTTCTCTTTTTCATATCGCGAACTGTTAGGGGGTCGATGGGCCTCTCCTATGATTTCCTAATTAAGTCAAATAAAGCCTGGCGTTGATAAAAATAATGGATCCATCTCAACGAGACCTCGCGATAGATAAAAAGGTTTCATGTTGCTAGACCAATAATTGACCCAGCTATGCCAGGTTAGTCCGGGCTTCCTGAAAACCGCAATATTTCAGCTCTAAACGCCAATACTTGCAAAACCATGCCAAGCAGCCACATCAAACTTCCAGAGACGCGTTCATTGCTCAATCCTGAGCATAATGGTATATTTTGTTGCCGCTATATTGCCGTTGTACGCCACGTTAAGGTGACAGTGCCGGACCACCGTGTGCGATCAGCAGACTCGTCGGTTGTCGCCCATCGCTGCGCCGGCCGTGGATCATTGTGCAGTGTTTCTTAAAAACAGTCGCCACTCGGAAACCAAAAGTGCTCTAGACACGTTTTTGGTGCCAAAACAAGCGTGCCGAATATCCCATTGCTGAAATTTGTTCCATTATATCTTATATGTATCATAAATGTAGTAAATATCCCATACATGTGAATGTCCCCCAAAAAGTCTCATTGCACTGATAATCAAAATTTGGGCGCGATAACACAGTATGCCGTTATGAGAGATGTCCGCACAAGACGTAAGAAGGGCAGCACCGATCCCCCCCCCCCCCCAATCACAATCAGGGCGAAGATTGGAATGCCACCACTCCCTGATCGATACCTCATGGATGCCGAAATGGGCGTAAGAGTCGAAATAGTAGTCTTTGGAGGTCATCTCTTCACAGCCGACTTTCTCTTGCTCCTTCTTGGCCTTCAGCGCCTCAGCGTCACCAGCGCCATCCGAGTTGACCACCTGCCGCAAAAACATCGCCAATGGTAACAGCGCAGCCAGGCACCGATGCACAACCCCGGAGCATTTCACGACTGCACACCTTGTACCACACCACCACCAGATATGGTCATGGTTTCCACTAACTTGATCGCGACCTTATGGTGCAACCCCAACAACCTGGGTGTTAATGCTGGGAGGGTCAAGTCACATGGCTTCCATAACCAGCTCTCTTTCTAGTCTTGTTCTCACTGTCCTGCTTTCCTTCATGCATATGCTGTGTATGTCTCCATTTGCATGCCATTTAAGGAGGGATCAATGTTGTAATTGAAACAAAAATAAGTGGAATATCATAAGACAGTGGCAAGCTTACCTGAATCTGCTAGCTGACAGGCATTTTTTCGACAATGAGAGACAAACAGGGAACAGTAGACCAGGGGATGTCAGCACATATTGTCAACAAAAGCTGTATTGATTGTACCATGTCAGATGAACATTTGAATATGGACAGCTAAATCTGTCCACCAACCTTTGAGCAGCAGCTTCCCTGATGATGATTTAGATATGATTTATATTTGATGTTATATACAAGTGCCTTATGAGCTTACTTTGATCACTGGCCTGATATTTCTCATGCCTTTATAACTTCCTATGGAGCTGGCTGATTCACAACAGGAATGTCATGTGAAATACAAAAAAAAATCTAGCCATGCTTTCACAATGGGATGAAGTGGCAGAGCAATCCTTAAAATCTGGTGCCCTCCGTTGCAACATTTTCCTAGTGCATACGGAAAGCAAGGAAGTGCCTAAAATGGTGAGCAGGTAACCACAATAAGAATGAGCAAATTGTGAGTATAACAGCTATTCACCAATCACTATGGTCTATCACACCCTAGTGTTTCATAGTCAGCTCACAGTTGTTGGTACAAAGTGGTCACCTAGTCCAAGGACGACTGAGCTCTATGAGCCATTGGATGTGAGTGAGCTGCCCTTATTGTTTGTGACAAGCAGAAATGCAATATGACTGAGACATTCCTTGCATGCTTACATTATATTACATACAACTGTCATGCCATGCATAAGGGTTACACACATTCCTGATGCAAACAATTATCAACCATGTCCTTACAAATGAACAAAATGACAACACAAACATGAACCCCACCAATGTGTAATGTCATTCATAAAATCACTCCATATCTGATGTTGATTTGTATATGATGTCACATTATAATATATCAACCATATTCATATTCAGCAACAGTAATGTAGCTGCTAAGGTTCTAAACAAGTGAGCATGCATCCAACATGCAACACAAGCCCTAGCCTGTCTGCCAAGTCAATGGGGTGCTTCTATTTGATCTGATTTGGGGTCAAATTTGGAATGCAATGCAGGCACTCATGTTTTTTGGTGGTGAACAGAACAGCAATTGTTGCTGAGTGGAATATTATGGGAGTTGGTAAGTGGAGTGAGAATGAGGCATCACACATAATGAAATGAATGCATGAGTGATACACAATTAAGGATGAATTCACAGAGCACCACAAATGTTCTGTTCTGTGACATCACAAAGAATATTTGCTGGATGTGTTCACATTATGGCATGTGTTCTGTTCATGCAACAGGGAGTCAGCATCTCCCTAACTTTCATGATAGAAACAGCATGTAAGATACTACATGCTGAGAATTGTGTGTAATGCAAGAAAGGCCTTGTATGCTACATTATGAAGTGTGCATTTACAGCACATTGAGAGTGCTCTGCTCTATGTGATGCCACAGAATCTTTGCAAGATGTGTTCACAGCATGACATAGCCTTTATTTAAATCTTTGCAACTTCTATGACACAACCTCTGTTCACATCTCTGCAGCTTTTGTGGCAATAGCTGTGCATGCGAGACACTAGCATCTACACTTGCAGTTACCATCTGTGATAAGAATGTAAAATACAAATCACCCTGTTTATAACATCATGAAACATGTTCTTCACCCCTCATGTGTGCTATGCTCACAAAGTGATTTGCTTTTACTTGAAGCCTGTTCCACCACTTGCATCTCAGTTTTATCTCACCTCAATCACCCAAAACAAAACTAAGAGACACAATATATAGGGTATGTTGCCATGAATAGCTCACCATCTGACCTTGGCAGTTATGCATGGCCTGCAACTGTTGGCAATGGCCACACTAAAGTTCAGGAGGCATCACCTCAGAGGACAGGATGGATGGTGCCCAGCCTTGGCATATTATAATATTCTCACCCAATACTGCCATTGATCTAAAATGGCTAGTCGAGATGACAGTGGTCAGGACTCACATGAGCACTGCTTGGTATGAGCTCAGGCCAGGGGTATCCATCAAATCAGAAAGCTCAGCTTTGATCTTTTAAAAAAAGAGAATGACCTGGTGACACAGATTCTTTGGCATCCAGGTTGCAGGTTGATGTGAGCACAACATGTCAATTGATGTTCTGGGTTCCTTGACACATAGTATTCCCTTTGCAGTGATGGCAAATGCTGGGCAACTGAAAACTTTTTCTTGCAACTTAGGAACAGCATCATTTTGCCACTTAGCTAAATGATACCATGTTGGTTATTGAGGCTATTTGGCACTTTCAGCTGCTGAGGCTATATTGCATCACCTGCTTTTCCCCTGGAAGATTGGCACTGCAGCAAACCTGAACCCTGTACCTCCAGTTTTCCTAGATTAACCATGCACTCACGGCTTAACCCCCCCATTACTGAAACCCTTTCTAATGGCAAAACCATTTATGATGTGATAACTTGAGCTTTAGAGGGTGCAACCACCCTGGTCATATGTTACCCATAACATCATGCTATATTTTTCACTGTGATACATTTGTAAGCACTAAAAAGTCTAGGGCCCAAATCACAAAGAAACTCCTAACTTAAGCAACTGCTCAGAGACTGAAATGGGATGGTTGAAGTTATCTTTGTAATATCATCCAAAATTCAAGAAAAAATCTTGATTGCAGGGTCTGTGCTGCCATCTGGAAGGAACAACCCCACCATGGTATTGCGAACATAAAACCATCCATCATACATGATATTGTGAACATGAAAACTTCATAACATCCTTTGTGGAAAAAACCGAATGGGGCCAAAATCCTGTTAAAAATATTAGGACATATGTGCTCACAGCCAATACACTAATGAATGACGGCACCGATGATGACATTCATTGGGGTTCACTCTATGCGTACATGCAGCCAGGTGGGTTCCTGCACCTGCAGGCACCACCAGGCAGGTTCCTGCAGTGCAGATGGTACTCTACACCTAACATGTGCCTTCAGTAAGTCAAGCTGAATCAAATTATGCCACAAACTAACATGAAAGAACATGCATCACACATCAGTGATCCACATGAGATTACAATACCGCAAAATTATCCAAACAAACACCTGAACCAATTGCAATTGCAGCCACATCGATAAACCTACTTGCTTTGTCTCATAGCAAATCGAACATGAATAGATCCTTGCAGAGCTCTCTTTACCAGCTTGGTTATGAATACTGCAACCACCTACAAAACGTTCCTTGAAAGTTTCTTTGTCAAAGACGGGCTAATGGCGCAGGCGTTTCCAACAGGGGAACTCCAGAGCAAAGCACAAAGGTAAATGCCAGTGAGATACTCCTTACCTCCATTACTTCAGCCATAGTTGTTTCACTTCTGTGAAAAACACTTCACAACCCTATATCGCAATACGACTAGATACCCGACGCCGGTAATGGAACCCAGGCACACGGCGCGCCACCCGCGTGTTCTCCGGCGTTCCCAAGGATGAAAGTATTCAAGCTTCGTGCTCTTCACGCGAGGTTTTGTTACGCACGTCGGATATGCGCCAAAAGTGGTTGACGTCATGTAAAAAATATGACGCACCATACATATCTGATGTTTCACAAATTGGTATCCAAGACGGCTTGTTAGTCTCACCACAAAACAGTGACGCAGGCAAGGGGGAGTTGGAGTGAAGCGAGTCTCCTTGAAGAGAGCTAGGACCTCTGGTGACGAGCCCTTTTTAGTTTAGAGCTTAGACGAAGCCAGTTCTTTTTAAGCGTTTAGGATACCCGTAAGGCCTCTGCACAGTTCCCGGAGGAAACGCCGAATGGAAAGGCCACAAGAAAAAAGTACCTGGATTAGTCGAAAGGGACATGGTAGACGGGAAGAAATGTCGAAACAGAAAAAGTCGTGAGGGATTAGAGTCAACAGGGGAAAGTCAGATAGGAAAACAATTTAACGGACACAAATTTTGACAAGATACACGTTGATTTAGGAAACAGCAAACAAGCAGGAGCCCTACCTCGCATCCCTGGGTTCTCTATTGGATCCGTCCGCGCTCAACCAGAGACGTTCCTGCAGGAAATCAGCTTTCGAGCCTTGGCGACCGAGCCGGAAACGTGCCCTAAGGTGGCTTAAGATCGCTATCAGGCTGTTGATTGCTATGGGCGCCATGCTAGTCTTGCTCTCTGTAGCCACAAGAATTCCATCTCTATGCATTTTTTTTTTGGACCGTCGTAGTCGGCGCACAGCGGCCGGCGCCCATGGCAGGAGGCGGCGCACAGCGGCGACATCCGTCGTATAATGCGGTGTTTCATTAGTCCTGGTACTGAACAAACACGCGCTTAGCCCCTGGAGTTGGTTCCTGGTTTCCACTTCCCCATTTTGAAAACAGCATTTTAGAACCCTGATATCGGCGTGTTGTTTCATAAACTCCATCCCCTGGTTCCCCAATCCTGAGTCCAGTGATTGTTTTTTTAGACACAGCACCCTGGTTTCCTGCTTTCCACGAATTCTTACAAAAACGGGCCCTCGTTCCCGGCTCGCACTGGTGTTTTGGTTTCCGCTGGCTGAGTATTTTCCCATACTCTATTCATGAAGTGCTCCCCTTACTCCCTTTTCTACTGAGCAGCTGACAAGTAACAGCTTACAGGTTGTTATAATGACTGGCAACTTAAGCCCATGTGATGAGCTTAGTGTCTGTGTAGGAAGATGTAAGGGTGGCCGAATGGCTAGCAGAGTGTATATATATATATATATATATATATATATATATATCTATCTATATCTATATGCATATGTATATATTTATTATACGCATAATATATCGTGAATATGTATATATTCGCATCCTGGGGTCACCGCTTAAGTCCATGAGCAAGCCAAATGGCATGATGCGAATACTGCAAAGTGGTGGCAACTGAAGCGGCAAAGCCAGTGAAACTTTATTACTCTTGATGCCACGTGGTTCCATGGGAGGGATACATTGGTTTGACTCCCCGGAAGATTGTACAAATATTGATGTCTCGTAACGCTCGGAAAACAAGGCGTTTTGCCGTGTGTTTTGGCCCTAACGAAGGAGTACGAAATATGTCAACATGGAACTTTGCTAGGTAAAAATGTGGTGTGCGAGTAAAAAATGAGAACGATCAATTCAACAACCGAGGGAAATTAAATGCATGGCGTCACTGGCGCGTAAAGCTGTCTTAAAAATTTGAGCATACAATTGCGTCCAACAGGTTTGGCTGATACTATTTATGTGGCTAAGGCTCCAAGAAAAATCACCGTGTTGCAGATTTCGGACTTTAGTACGTTTATGTTTTTAGCTAGGCCCATAATCAACCAAAAATGGCAAGAGAGACGGACAGTTTTATTGTGGCGAAGACACACAATTTTGTTCATGCCCCGCAAACTATAAAGGTCGTCCGTGGCCGACTGAAAAGCTAATTTTCTTCAGATTGAGGAACCGATCTCACGAAAGGGTAGATGTCTCTAGTGAGAAGACGAGCTCCGCAATCTCCAGAAATGAGGATTTGAGTCGGTCCATGATGGACGTTTGAGCCTTCTATGGCAGAAATGTATTTACACAATGCTGCATCAAATGTGCCGATATACAAGTATAGGCACAGCCACATGCTGGCAGTGGTGCCGAATTATCAACTTTTCACACGCGCTGGTAGGCGAAGCACTAGAGTGACGAAGTGCTGGCGATCGTTAGCGGATTGCACCTCTCTTTTGCATATCGTTCAGTCAAATCTGCTCAAAATTTTCCGTTACGTGCTAAGGTAATTTGCGGTACATGAATCTATGCATTCACGAGAGCGTGCACAGTACGGCAGGTTCTCGACAAAACAAAGTTTCAGCGATAAAGCATATGCATTTCAGTTGATGTAAAAGAAAAAAATAAGCACTCCTCCACGCATCAACTCCGAAAATGGTCTTCGGCCTCCCCATGAATATGACCTGTTGGGAATGCCTTTTTCCACTCATTTCATCAGAGACGCATTGCAAGCCTGCTGTGCTTCTGAAGGACACTGCTCTGAGCCTTTTTGCCTCTGGAGCGAGGAGGACCCAAACTCGCTTCAGTTCAAAGGAGTAGGAAATGAACCCCTGTAATGTCAATGTCATGCGCAACGTAGGTTGACTGTAGAAGCGTCGCTAGTTGAGCTGGCTCTCCATTAGCCAAATGCGATTATACTTATGTACGCATGCTCGATGCGCAATGGCCTCGTATACGTAGATGCGAAGCCATAATCTTGGTACGGGGAGGAACACGGAGATGACAAGGGGCCGCTCCTGGTGAAAGACCCCCTACAGAAAATATCACCATATATGGTTCACTTGATTTCGAGGGGCACGATTTGCTTCGTTCTATTTTGATATGTACTCTTTTCATTGAAACAAGCCAGAATGCGCCGAAATATATATCTCTGTTCCTATTTTGAAATCGTTAAACTCAAGACACCAGGCTTCAAAGGATTGCATAGAATGAAACGACGGCGCTATTCACTATTTATTTATTATTCACGCAGCCGCGCGGTGTCGGCTCCGTAGCTAACATTCGGTGGTGGTCAGCGGGTAGACGAAAAAGGCATCGTTTCTGAAAAAGCTTCTTTGAACGTTTTATAATGTCACTTTGTACGTTAAGAAACTAATCCGCGAGTATGTTTCGCCTGTGCAATTTGTGGACTTACAAAAGGAACACATTAGCATTCACAGCACCTCAGGCAGATGCTGGAATTTGGCGGTGGAACTACAAAATACGTAAAGACAAGATATCTGTTTTTGTGTGGCTGTCGCCTTTTGTCTGTTCAGCGAACGGCCTCAAGTTTATATAGGTGAGATATGCCCAAATAAAAAAAGAGATCGCCCAAATCTTCTTCTTTTTTGAAAGGTACGAATGGATTTCGACACACTTTTGGACTCATTATTTCACGACGGCTATTCTCGTGCACCAAAGCCCGCCGCCGGTGCTAGCTGCAGTGCCCGACGCCGCTTGGTTTGATGTAAACTGCAACCTCGGCTATCGATGTTCTCGCTGCTAAGATTGCAAGCACGCAGGCTCAAGGCTCTCGTATGTAATGTTGATGTACACTCCTACGTTTGTTAACTTTTATGTTATCAAAACTCTTGTGAATGTAATAACTCTTAAATAATGTTTCACATGTTGATTCGGATAAGGATGGACGTCCTCGCTTGTGTTGCCTTTTTCATTTTTGGCCTGGTTTTGATTCACCTTATGCGGTTATCAGAAAACACCTTACCTTTTTCGGGTAAAAGCCCAGTAGGTAGTACACTAGGAGATCATTATTTTTCCCGGTCAGCGGCCAAAGTAAAAGGTCATTCCTTTACAGCGCGGGATGCCCACCGGGTGTCATACTGGCAACATGGAGGCGAGGTCCCCAGGTCGATGCGGAAGCCTTGAGAGAGATTAGTCATAGATTGGTCACCTGCTTGACACCGGAGCCCCCTAACCCGGGTATTTGGCCCCGGATGGACGTAGAGGCCCCCATCGATGAAGTAAGATCCCTTATCATCGCAGGTGTCCAACTATTGGCACAGAGACCTCAGTTTGGCATGATGAGCCCCACCCTGAAATGGGATGGAGAGCTCCCCGTTCCTTACGGGGGCCCAGCTGTCAATGGGCCTTCCATTGTCTCATTGCGGTCTTTCGTCGTAAACTCTCACTTCCAATTTCGTTGTCAGGGGGCTTTGACCAACACAAGAGACTGTGTAGAATTTATATTATATTTATATTTGACATCAGCATACACTTCACATACATACGTGCCTATTACGTGCCATTAGTCCGAGAGATAAAACAGTATGTAAAAAACAACAATGGAAAGCGTAAAAGGACAAAAAACATATAAACGCCTAAACGCATTCGGGATTCCGTCCCTCTCCCCGCTCAGCAAATGCTCTCCTGGCCGACTCGAGCCCTTTGCCGACACAGGACCCTCTGCCCGGCACTGTGGGCGCCTGACCACCACAGAAGCCCGTGCTATTTCACGGGTCTGAGCGGGCAAAACATAGGCGTTGATAAGCTAAACGACAGGATTCCCCAAACCCGATCCACTTTTCACTCGTCATGTAGATGGATTCCCCCCAAAACCGCATAGGAAACCACATCCCTGCTCCTACGCGTGTCCTCTCTGTGTCTCGGCGGCAGATGTTGTTGTTGGGCATCATTACCATTTTGCTTGGCGTCAATCGTGGGAACCGGGCTCAGGCAATCCACCTAGGGTCTGAACTACGTGTCTTCAGACGTCTTTAAACGCAGGCAATCCACCTAGGGTCTAAATTATGTGGCTTCAACGTCCTAAAACGTGGATTACTTCGAGAACAAAGACTGCAAGCTGCTGTGCGCAACTATTGAAGAAAGCCGCGCACCTTGCAGCTACCAGCCACAGGGCTGAATGATGATGTCATGATGTTGATGTCGCGATGATAGTGATGGTGATATCGTGCTAGGCATGACGTCATCGGGTGAC